GCCCACCTAGAACATTGCTGGGGCCCACCTCACGTACAGCAGCTTATTAGTTCGCCCCGTGGAGAAGGTGACGTGGCAAATTGGTCTGACTGACAAGCTCAGGAGAACCTTTATTGCACCGCAAAAATTTAATTGGCACAGATCGAGACACGCGTCGGTCATCTAACGCATGTGTTCAACTTTACACGTACAAAAACCTTTTATTTGTACGAATAAAATAATACTTTCTTAAAGTATATAAAGGATGACGGGCATATAAATTACATAGCCACGAAAACTGGATTAGACATCCGCACGTAAGAATCAAGCAGCTCGCTCTGCTAGGGTTTGCGCCGCTGGGAGTATCATTTTAATAAAATAATAATTATAATATATTTTCAAATTTGAAATTATTTAAAAAATATTTAATACATTTTGAAAAGGCTCTAATTTTGAAATATTGTGTACACTTTACATGCAAAATCACTTCAGATAAAATCATACAAAATTGAAGTATAAAATTTTATGTGATTTATGGGCTTCTATTAAGACCTATGGATCACTACAAATTATATGCTTCACTATGTAATTATTCATTATCAAAAGCTAAATATTTGAATTAGTTAACAAATTTTTTCAAATTTAATATGCTTTCATAAATTTCTTTACAGACATCCTTTAATTTTATTGGGTACCTATTCAAGCTCCATGCTATAATATTAGGCTTCATTTGGTACATCCTTATACCACATTTTTTTTCCTGTTTTAAAAGAATTTTGGTGTAAAAAACAGCTTTACAAAGAGATAAAAACCTCATCCCAAGCAAAGCCTTAGATGTGGAGGAAAAATTTTGAAGGAAAAAAAGCTTGCTAGTTATAACCTATTTTACGATCAACGCTTTCATTTTACTAAGTGATAGTTCATTTGACCCAATCATATATTTTGATTTTTTTTAACTCTATTCAATATTCTTATGACTAACAGCATTTGCAATTCGCACTTTAAAACTTTTTTTTTTTAATTTAAACCCACGGAGGGGCCTACGCGTTGATATAAGTCAAAATTACAAGTCCTTAGGGAGATTTTCAGCCCGCTAATTCTCAAAGAGCTACAATCAATCAAAAAGAGAAAAAAACCTAAGTGCCGAAGATCCCCATCTACGCAAAATACAATAAAGCCTATGAACATTCTAAAGCGGCACAGAAAAAGTGCCCAAAAATGAGAAAGCTCAATAAATATCCAATCAGCCCAAGCTTTCTTGCCAAAAACTCCCTCAAGGTGGAAGCAACCCTGCAAAATGATAACAAGCAAAACTAAAGGAAAAAAGAACACTAAAAGCATGAAGCTTACGAGTTATAATCAAAGCCCCCCTAGCATTCGGCAACGGATCAGTCCACAGAATAATTGTCCCAATAAGAATAAGATTCACGGCCAACCAGCAGACAATCATAGCATCAACAACCAGAATAGAAACCAAATGAAAAAAATACTAGTGACCTTCCATGTTAGAAGCGGCCAAAAAAACCAAACAACACTGAACTCCCACCTAGCAGTGCTAAACCAACACCACCAAAGAAAATTAAGCATAGCATTACCAACCATATGAGTAGAAATGGTAGCAGTAAACAAAAGGATGTTGCGAAACCAAAAAACCTGCCGAAACATGAAAAAATTACTCACCAAGGAAAATTTAACAACAAAACTGGTATAGTGAAACCAACAGAAAAAGTGACTTATAATAATATTGAGAGAACAAACCCAGCAGATATGAGTAAAAGGAGAAACCAAGGCATAACTGAGAGGAGGGAAACGCCACAACACAACCAACAACACCGAGAGCCCCCAAGATACAGCAACACAGAAAACCAACATAAAAAACCTTACCCCAATCTAATGTAAGGCGTACCCAGCCGATCCAAATGAGTGATGCCAACTAATTTGGGAGGTAAAGAGGTACTAGCAAATTCCATAACTCATTCAAATTACCCCCAAATTAGCTAAAAAATCCGCAACCGCATTGCCTTCTCTATGAATATGAGATAATATAAAGTTAAAGGAAGACAAAAGAAATTTGATTTCTCTAATAATATATAAATAAAGAGGGTTAGCCTAGCCTTCCCAGAAATATAATGCAGAATTGTTTGGGCATCCAATTCAATCCAAACATTAGTAATCCCAAGAGTGTTGCATAAATTTAACACATACTTTAACGCCAGAATTTCCGGCAAAAAGTTCTAATAACAGAGGGACCAGCAAAAGCCATAATCGTGTTACCCATGCAATCCCGAATAATACCACAACAACCAGCTTTCAAATTACTAAAGGCACCATCAGTATTTAACTTGTAATAGCCAGTAGGAGGTTTAATCCATTTAACAAAGATGTGGTTAGGAGACTACAAGAAAGAGTCCTCCACAGCAATGTCAACAGCCTTAGCAAGATGATGGTAGCGATGAAAATAATGTAAAGTAATCAGCTTAGCCCCATAAATGCATCTAACTTTATCTATAATCTGATTGATCAGCAACATAGCATTCATTTTAAAACTTATTAGATATACCTTATGAAAGTTTTTAGAGACTGCAAAATTTTTTATAAAGCTTTTAAATTGATTGGGCTTTGAAATGACTTTATGGTGTTTGTATTCAAGGAGTTTTTTATTTTTATAATTTTTACAAATCAAAGAAATGCTGGGCTTCGTATTGACCACCTTGAGAAGAGGGAGATGTCTATAGGAAAGGCTCAGGTGAGAATTCTCTATGATAATGCTTAATTCTAAGATATTTGTGTTATAGTATTTCCATGTGATTTTCTTTTGTTGGTTGTCTTAATATGTTGCAGGTTCTTAATCTTCTTAGAGCCATGCTGGTCTCCAAAACAGTACTTAGTGATGCTCTCTTTTCATTGTGGCTAAGCAGGTGAAGTAGAAGGCTTTTTGTGATTTTAAAGGGATTTCTTATGTTTAGAACCCCGATGCTCTCAGTTGTTTTTCTCTAATTGTTTTATGGCACTTTTATTTCCAATTAATGTGTTGATGTCTCTGTTAAGAAGATTTAATGTTCTTGAAAATTTTGTTGAATGAAGGAGTAAATCTATTGAGAGTAATATATTTCTTGAATAATTGAATTAATTTGTCTCTCCTATTGCTGCTGATCACAAAGGAAGATATGTGTGTCGGGAATCGATGGCATTCGGACTCCAACTCCATAGGGCAATGCCACGCTACGGAATGCCATCTGAGTTACCATTGATCCATGACTGTGGCGGCATAGTGATTGAATATCATTCGGATCCGCCACACTAATATTTTCGTCACAGTATGACTTTCTTGTGATTCTTTACAATGGATTACTTAAATTTATTGTCGTGTCTTCTAATAATTTATTAAATTATTTTTGTGATTAAACATATATTAACTAAAATCATGCAGATGATGATATTTAAATTTAGAATTTAATAAGTCAGGAAAGGAGAAATAAAGAAATTTGAAGGACGAAAGCTCTAAATAGTTGTATATTTATGAATTTCAACTGTATTATTTTTTTTTTTTCGCATATATCTCTTATATGATCTAAAAGATGTTGAGTACTTAAACTTATTTAATAATAGTTTCCTTTTTATAAATAATAAGCACAATCATTATTTTAAAATAATATAATATATTTTCAAATAGAAATTATTTTTAAAATATTTAATTTGTTTTAAAGGTCTCTTAAAACTCATTTTGATAATATTTGCACACTTTAAATGAATTATCACTTCAATTAAAAATCATAAAAATTTAACTACTACCAGTTTGAATTTACCATGGTTTCATATTTTATGCGCGACCCCACGTAGTGGAAAAATTATTAGGTGCGGAGTCCCGCACCGTTCGCACAAGTACTGGGTACCTAGTGGTAACCGCAGTACCGATGGTGCGGTACATATAAGTTGAGATCTAATGCTGTGTATTTTCAAATTAAGGAAATATTCTTAAAAATGCTTCTCGGTAAATGCTACCTCTATTCAAATTTTTTACAAGTAATATATCACATATATTAATGATTATATTGAAATCTCATGTAGACGAAATCCTTGAAGTGCTTCAAATAATTTAATAGATGTTTAAACAACGCTGTAATAGGTCAAAAAAAAGTATACTGCCAAAAATCTGATTTATTAGTAGTTGAAGCTTCTCTATCACAATATGTACCACAAGAAACAAAAATTCAAAGAGAAAGAAAAGCTTTATTTTGCTTCTATTCTAACTTTTGTATCACATTTACTTCACACACTACAATCAACACTTTCATTTTACTAAGCGAATAGTTCCAAACAATCATATATTTTCAAGGAAAACAACATTCATAATTTGATTTTTTTATCACTATACCAATATTCTTATGTACTAACGGCATTTGCAATTTGCACTTTAAGACCTTATTAGATATGCTTATGAATGTTTTTAGGGGCTTTAGTTATATATAAATTCTTTAGTTATATTAAATATTTTTTTAAATTTATTATATTTAATTAAAACTATAAGTTTCATATATTTTTAGTTAAAATTATTAAATATATGTATTTTAATAATAAATAATAAATATTATATTTTTAAACTATTTAAATATTTAAGAATAATTGAAAATACTAATTTAATATTTATTTATTATTGAAATTCTCTCTCTTCCTCCTCTTAATGGCGTATTCTTATTGTGTCAAATAGTTAGGTGTATTTTGAAAAACGCCATTTAATTTAGCGCATTTGTTCATAATTAAACTTTTTTTAATTTATGCTCATTCCACTAATTTTAATCATTAGCTTGCTTCTTTATAAAATTTGGCCTATTCCGGCATAATATATAGAGAAACATTTTTGCTTGATTCCTTAATTCAAAATTCTTGAAGATTTCACTTTCTTGGATGAAAGTTAAACAAAATTTAAATCGATTTTTATTTTAGTTTTTCTTATTTTGTAAATTGTATATGTTAAATCTTGATACATTATTTATAATTTTAAATGAATAAACAAATTCACATTTGAATATTCCCCTTTGCCCTAACCTCGCGTACCCGCAAGAATTCGCGCAAGAGGCGGCAGCTTCGGACGACTAGAGAAGGCTTCGAAGTTGGGATTTTGGTCGACTGATTGCGGTCGGAAATCTATTCGCTTGGAAGGGAACGCGTGCATGTCGGACGTTGGAGTTCAGTTCGCGAATCGCGAGGGCGTCGGGAGATTACGCGATCCTCATTGCGAGGACTAGGTTAGACTTAATACAACACAAAGTTTGTTTTTTTTGTTTTGTTTGATTTTCGATTTGATCATGCCCCTGTTGATAAACGTGTCAACAACAATCCAAGCATCTACCGGTAACCACTCATTTATATAGACAACATTGTTAAAATTCCAGTTCCTGATCAATGGTTTTTGAATATAAAAGGAATACAACAACCAACCAAAGGAGCGGTCACGAGTTGTGAGGAGATTCTTCTGGTTCGGGAGGTTTTAAGGGCCAGCGGGAGGCGAGAACCTGGAAGGAGTGCAGACGGGTGGGAAATCAGCAAGAGAGGAGGCCAAATGGGAAGCAGCAAGTTGGTAGACTGGAGCCCTGGCAAGGCGAGAGAGGAGGAAAGATTATCTTTGAATGTTTGGGTAGACAATGCCAAGAAGCGTGTAGTACTTGCAGAAGCTAGCAGCGATTTCATCAACGTACTCTTTAGCTTCTTGACTCTACCGCTGGGCACCATTATCAAGCTTCTATCCAAAAACTCCGGTCTGGGATCCATTGACAATCTCTATGACAGCATCGAGAAGCTTGACGATCAATATTGGCAGACTAAGGCTTGTAGTAATATGCTTCTTAGCCCTCGAAATGCAGCCGAAAAATATTGTGAGCATTTAAAGCTCAACGTGGATGGTGACAATAACCCGAGAGAATTTTATTATTGCAAAATGGAAAGATGCATATCACACTCCAAATATTATTTCTCCTCTGTTAGGGACACAATATGTCATTATTGTGGAGAGGTTATGGATGAAGTTGAGCTGTGGGAAAAAGTTGAAATAATAGAGAATGATGAAGTATTCGTTAAGAAAAATAACGTCAAATACATAATAACCGATGATTTTCATGTCAAACCATATTCAATGTCGTACTACTATGATATGCTGAAAGACTCTGGTGTAGAAGATTTGTATCTCATGGAGGTGAGGACCATTGAGTTTGGAAGAGAAGAGGTATTCCTTTTATTTTTTAAAAAAAATCATTTGAATCTCTTCACAAAATAGGATTATCTTGATTTGCATAAGAAATAATTTTTTTAGTTGGCAATTGATTTTTTCAGCTTTTGAATTTACTAAAGAAATTACTAGAAGGAAAAGAAGTGCTGACAAAAATTTGCTTCCCTGATTTGTGCATTCGATCTACTACCCCTATATATTACGATGAAATGGAGATTAAAATTTTCGAAAGGGAAGATAATGCACAGTTCGAAACAAGTACGTTACAGATCACGCTCTTCCTGAATATAACAAACAACAATGTGGTGTGTGCAGAACTAAAAGAAGACTTAGCTAATCAGTTATTTAGCTTTCTCACATTTCCACTTGGCTCAGTGTTGGGGCTCATTGATTTTTCCAATTTCTTAGGATGCATGCCCAACCTATACAATAGCATTCAAGAATTAAAAATTGATTGTTTCACGTCAGAGGAAGCAAAAAGTATGCTGATATCACCACAACTTCCACCCTTTAGTGGTTACAACAAACAAATGCTAAATATTCAAGAACACCCTCCTTATGTCGTAAATCGTATAAATATATTTAAGGAGGGATTGGGAGAATCTTACTCAAGTGAAATCGATCCAAAGTTACCTATGACAGATATTGATTCAAATGATGGATTTGTTGGGACTCAATCTTTTGTGGTAACAGATGACTTCCATTTTACTCCAATGTCCTCTTTATCTTTCACACAAATCAAAGAAATGCTGGGCCTTCGTATTGACCACCTTGAGAAGAGGAAGATGTCTATAGGAAAGGCTCAGGTGAGAATTCTCTATGATAATGCTTAATTCTAAGATATTTGTGTTATATTATTTCCATGTGATTTTCTTTTGTTGGCTGTCTTAATTATGTTGCAGGTTCTTAATCTTCTTAGAGCCATGCTGGTCTCCAAAACAGTACTTAGTGATGCTCTCTTTCATTGTGCTAAGCAGGTGAAGTAGAAGGCTTTTTGTGATTTTAAAGGGATAGTTTCTTAATTGTTTAGAACCCCGATGCTCTCAGTTGTTTTTCTCTTAAGTTGTTTTATGGCACTTTTATTTCAATTCATGTGTTGATGTCTCGGTTTAGAGATTTAATTGTTGCTATCTATAGCAATATTTGTTCTTGAAAATTTTGTTGAATGAAGGAGTAAATCTATTGAGAGTAATCATTATTTCTGAATAATTAACTTGAATTAATTTGTCTCTCCTATTGCTGCTGATCACATGAGCTTTTTGTAATTCTTACATGGATTATGTAAATTTATGTGTGGTGTCATCTAATAATTTATGAAATATTTTTATGGATTAAACATATATTAACTAAACTATGCAGATGATGATATAAATTAGAAATTTAGATAAGTCAGAAAGGAGAAATAAAGAATTTATGTCGTTTGTATTCAAGGAGTATTTTATTTTTATAATTTTTAATTTCATTAAGGACCCTTAAGTCAATTTAATGAATATTCTGATGTTGAATTTATAACCAGAGAGTTTCAAGAACTGTAGGTTGTGAAATAATGTAAGCTTGCTATATTATAATAATGTCAGCTAATAAGAGACTGATAGCAACATAATTATTTAATTGATCAATGTCAGGTTGAGCATAAAATATTGATCTTTCATTAGCCTATTAGAAACCTTTCAAATCATGTCAAATTGACTTCTAATGGAGGCCATCTGGAACATTTAGGATACATTAATTACTTAGTAGGTCACATAATAGAGTGGAGAGAGAGAGAGGAATGATATGGAAGATAATTGCATGAGGAGAGAGAATTATCTTTGGTTAATGATATATAATTATGCGTGGGCATGGGCCTTATATTATTGCATAATTGATATGGCATTAGAAAAATTTATTTGATCAAGCACGAATGTCAATATAATAACTAAAATTTAAATTTAAGATCATTTGGACCTTGATTTATAGTTGATATATTTTTTTTTATAGAAATATGCCTATTGATACCAAAGTTTTTTTTTTTTTTTTATTAGAGTTCAAATGAGCCTAAGTCATTCAACTAAAGCATAGATGAAAACATAGGGACAATGTTTGATGATCCAAACAATCTCAAAATTTGTGTGCTTGCAATCAAAATGAACATCTTGATGATAGAATTCCAACGAGCCAATGATCACGTAATTTCAAAGTCATTGAGGCACTTAAATATAAAGGAATAATTTATGACCAGGAGAATTAACCTTGACCGCCCAATGGAGTGTTCAGAAATTTGGCTAAAATTTCTGTAATGTCACTCAAAACAATATAAATAGTCACTCATTCTCCACATGAATTACTTGAATTGGGAAAGACTTTAAAAATCTAAAGAACTCCAAAGTAATGTCCAGTGTTAGAGGTTGATAATTACCATTAGAAATCATCAATTAAGCACTATTACTTGTTCTTTGTTGTTCAACCTCTATCACCTGATTGTCGTCTCTCAATCATCATTATCAGATGAATATAGTCGGTGAACTATAATTAAGAAATGGTGGTCAAGAGATTATAATTAGGTGATGGTGATCAGAGGATTATAGTCTATGGATAGTGATTAAGTGACCATAGTAGAGCGACGTTGGTAGGAGACCATATTCAGGTAACATTTATCAGGATCATAGTCAAATTACAGTGGTAATAAGATTATAGTTAGGTGGTGATGGTCAGAGGGTCTAAGTTGGGTGATGAGATGTGGATACATAGTCGGGTGACTATGAATGGAGGATTTAAGTTTAGTTCAAAAATTGAGGTTAGAAGACAAAAGCTAAGTGATGATGGTTAGGACACTATAGGAAAGTTAGCAGTTTGCTGCTGATTTTTGATAGATTTTATGGCAGATTATTTTTTGTCAAAAATGGTGCTGATTTGCAACGAGAAATATATATATACATTTTTTTGTTTTTTTTTTGCGACGGTGTTTTGGCTCAATTTTCGCTGCCAATTTGCTGCAAAACTTATTGACGAAAGATGAGTTATAATATAAATTAAAACAAATAGGTTTTTTGTGTGTTTTGTCTCTATGGCCGAGTGAAGAAGGGAGATGGTTTACAACTGGAGATGATTTGAATTTCGGGTAGGCCAGTCAAGCGGACATAGTCATGTGATAATAGTCAAATATGATAGTCAGGAAATGGTGGTTGGAAAAACATTTTTTGTAATGATGATAAAAAATCATAGTTGGGTTACAACAGTTGAATGGCCAAAGTCAGGTGATAGTGGTCAAATGATCATAAACGGGTGATGATGGTTGGAGGACCATAGTTGGGTGCCCGTTGTCATAGGATCATAATTAGATGAGAATGGTCAGATGATTGCTATGAAATAAGGGTGATCAAAAGACTATAATGGGGTGATGGTGGTCAAATGGCTATATTGGGGATGGTGATCAGTAGATTATATCGGTGATTGAGGTTGGAAGATCATGATCATAGTTGTACGATGGTGGTTGAGAATCATTTTGAAAGGGCTATATCTCAGTTGTTTTTTCTCCAAGTAATTATGTGATAATTAAGAAATATAAAAGTGGACATATAATGAGTTTGATAACTTTTTATTAAGGAAAAAAAAACTTATTAATTTTACATTAGGGTTTTAAGTGAGCCAAGCCTATTTGAACTCAACTCGCTAACAATAGCTCAACTTGCTAACGAGCTTGTTAGTCGAGTTTATTAAGCCATGAGCTTGAGCTCAAATTATAGCTCAAGCTCATTTCAATATATTTTAAAAATTATATACTTAAGATCATCATACCATTTTTGTATATATTCAAAATATTGGAGTTCTGGGAATCAAATACCTATCCTTACTGATGTATGCCAAAGTTTGTCTTGCCTATAACCATGGTGGAGTATATATCTCTTCAAAATAAAAACTTAAAAATAATTTTGAATTTTTCTTATCTCTTCAAAATAATTATGTTGACACAATATGAAAATTAATCATGATGAATTAATGATTAAACAAGTCAATTCTTTTTGTTCGAGTTTGAGATCTTTTGAGGAGCATTTGGATGCATCAGTACTGTTGCTGTCTGCAATACAAATTGTAAGATATGTGGATCATTGTAGTCTAATTGTTTATAACAAAGGCTATAAGGACTGCAAAAGTTTTAAGGCAAAAAATCATGAAATTAAAAAATCATAGGGATTGGTCTAGCTGAAAATGACCAAGTGGTGTTTGTCAAGGATTATAAATGATGCTTTTTCTTGTAATTGAGAAATGCGTAGCTCATATTTTATGGCGAAAGTTAGAAGAGCTCTATGGCATTAGTGCTATCTTTAAGAGACCGTTTATTATTTATTTGGTTACTCTATTGAGGAGGGAGGATTAGAGTCCAAGAAGTTCAACATAAATTCTAATTATGACACAAAGAGTCATAGTTGATATTGACGACATGAATCAATCTTATATTTGATGGCGTGCATTGACACTACTGGCCATAGTAGGTGATGAAGTTAACAGGCGTCGGTGTAATTAAACAAAAATGATTAGAGGATTGTAGTTGAGTGGTCAAAAGACCATAATATGATTATGGGCGTTGGAAATTATGGTTGGGAAACAATTATTATATGCCATAGTTGGATAATGTTTGTTGGAGGCTTGTATTCACATAATGATAGCCAGAGGACATAATTGGGTAACAATGGCTGGAGGATTGTTGTCTGGCGACGGTGGTTTGAGGATCACATGTGGTTGATGGAGTGTAGAGAAGTGATGGTGGGCAGAGGACCATAGTTTAGTAATGAGGTTGGAGGAATATAATCTAGAGATGGTGGTCGAGAGGCCGTCATCAAGTGACAATGATCGAAGAATTGTAGTAGCATGACAAATTTTAAATAACAATAATCAGACGATAATGTTTAAAAGTTTATAGTCAGACGAGGGTGGTCGGATGACGGTATATGAATTACTGTGGTTTGAAGATCATAGACGGGTGATAGTGTTCAAAAGACTGTAGTTGGGGAGCAATAGTTGGGAGACTATAGTTGACCGATGGTGGTTGGAGAATTATAGTGGGGTGACAAATGTCGAAGGAAAGTAGTAGGGTGATGGTGGTTGGATCAGAGTTCTATAATCGGGCAATGATGGTCGGAAGATCATAGTCGGGTGATTGCGATCAAAGGATTGTAGTCAGATCATTGTGGTTAGGGATTGTAGTTGAGTGATGGTGGTCTGAGAACCATAATTAGGTGATAAAGGATGAAGGATTATAGTTGAGTGTAGATGTTTGGAGGAATATTGATGGGCCATGGTATGCTGACAATCATAGTTTGGTGATGGTGGTTAGAGGACTATAGTTAGGTTACGATGGTAAAAGGATTGTAGTTAGGCAATAGTGAATGGAAGACAACGGTTAGGCGAGGGTGGCCAGCGGACCATGTTCATATGATGGTATTCAAAGAACCATAGTCGAGTGATAGGGATCAGGAGATCGTAGTGCGGTGACAGTGTTAGAGAGATTGTAATGGAGCATCAATTGTTGAAAAATTACGGTTGGAATATAATGGTCGAAGAATGGTAATATATTGATGTAGATGGATGGCTTTCGATGGTAGTTGAAGGATTTGAATTGAAAACTTTTTGTATTAATTTCAGGACCATTGAACCTATGATTTCACTTAGCTTATAGTTCAAAATGAATGGTGCTTGACAAATTTTGTATAATAACTAAATGTTAAAAATATTGATACACTTGTATGTAACGCCTTATGTGATGAAGGCAGAAAAATTTTTTATCAATAGCTGTACTTCGGTACATGTATACACATATCAGCTCTTGAAGAATCTTTATAATTTCTTATTATCGTATAAAAAATTCCTCTCATTCGTGTTTGTTTTTTAAATCTTATATCCGTTAAAATTATGCTGAATTTTTTTAAAAAAAATTCATATTAATGAGAGTTTAGTAAAGGAGATGTGCTTTCAACAATTATAGTCTACAGAAATCTTTGGCTGTGGAGAAAAATGGAAGAGAAAATGACTTGCAAAGATTTAGCTTATATCTATAATCATTTATTTCATATAACATTACAAATATTGAAGCTGTTGAAATGTATGTGCT